GTCTCTCACTGCTAATTTACACCAAATGTGTAGCTTTGCGCGAAATTTAAAACAAAACAAGTATACGACAACTTTCCACGACATTATTATCAACTAAATAATGGTTGTTTTAGTTCTTATGGAGTTGAATCGACGCTTTGCATCACCAGTTATTTATTCCAACCAACCCATTTACCCAAAAATGCATATTCAAAGTAATCTTTCCAAGTTCTTCAAGGTATTCATCGCGCCTAATGTCTGCCATCCAAGTGACTCAAGTCTGATAGTTTTTCGTATATTTCTTTTTTTTTTTTACTGGTGTTTTCAGTTTATTCTAATTATTCGAGAACATTGCTATTCAAAATATATTTAACTGTCATAAAAATGAATATCGAAGTAAACTGATAAAGGTGAATAAGATTCTGCTTTTTGTTTCTTAAAGCAACCGTTACTATGCCAACAACATCCAGATTACGTGTACATTTGCTATTATGAACATGCACGTTCATAAAAAAAAAATTGTATCAAACATGTTAAAGACAGTTTCCAAATAGATTTTCTTTAGTTATCTGGTCTTCAGTCTACGAGTTAAAGGCTTAGATAAATCGATCATATAATTCCTTAGAAACGGTATCTTAAAAGAACATATACTGAAATACCTGGCAACTGACCGGGGGATGTTTAAACTTATATAAAACAATGTACGTTTAACAGCAATCATATATTTCAATGTAATAACTTGAACATAACCTTTATCTCAAAATTTTAAAATTATAACAAAGGTTCTTCATAAACAACATTTGCAGTTTGCTTTACATCTATCAACAGATAAAGATTTTGAGGTGATCCCACCCATGAACACCCTACATATCATTAACCATGAAAAAAGCATGGTTGTTTGAGAAACAATCCAGCAACTTTCATACTTTGATCTTGAATCCCTTTAGAATATTCAACATTGTCTAAAGCGTCAACATGCCAAGATTGTTTGAGATTGACTCAATAGACTGGGAATAATTAACCAATAGGCTTTACAAAATAGAAATAGGGTTAAGTTCAATTTTTACCCACTTAGGATATTCTCCGCAGTTATTAGTGCTTACATACAAATTTTGGTTGAGATTGGCCCAATAGGCTCGGAGGAGTTAGGGTGCAAAACAAACACACATTTCGTCTTTATATATATATATATATATAGATGTACTGAAGCTTGAATTGCAATAATATTGAAGCACGAAAGAGGTCACGGCTCAGAACTTATATTGGATTAAGTGCCACATTACTTATATTAAGAATATGATGGAGGAGTCATCCTCGGTTTAAATACAATCCTGTTTGAATTTGTTTTTTGTTTTATGTTGTGACATGTAAATAATTTCAATATATAAATTTATGTAGATAATTATTCGAAATTATAGGATAACATTATTTCAAAAATTTCAAGATGGAATAGATTAATCATTATGGGGTCCTGAAGATCCAAGGTTCAAGACGCGACACTACTGATAACACCCAGCACTTTCAAATGTAGGAGCGCTATAGAAGTGGCAATTGATTTATACTGTCATAATGCCTAACTGAGTATCACTTTTCAATAGTCATTTTTTCCCAGCCCGGCATGGCCAGGTGGTTAGGGCGCTGGACTCGCAGTTTGCGGGTCGCGGGTTCGAATCCCTGTCACACAAAACATGCTCGCTCTTTTAGCCGTGGGAGTGGTATAATGTGACGGTCAATCCCACTATTCGTTGGTAAAAGAGTAACCCAAGAGTTGGAGGTGGGTGGCGATGACTAGCTGCCTTCCCTCTAGTCTTACACTGCTAAATTAGGGACGGCTAGCGCAGATAGTCCTCGTGTAGCTTTGCGCGAAATTAAAAAAACAAACAAACAAACATTTTTTCCGAGAAAATTTTTTTCAATATAGAAGCGTAAAAATCTTTCATTTGACCTAGTAGAGAAGGACACGTAAAAGTTTAGCTTTTTGTTCCAACACGCTTGTTGAGTTAACGTCTGAAGCTTTTGCTTTTTTAAAGTAGTTTCTAAAACATTAATTAGAGATAATGGATTGTTCCTTTGAAATAATTAATAATTTTCACAGAAGTTTTCATAGTTGTCTTCAAACTTATTGTTTTTAAACATAACCAGTGATTGTTCTTCAGCGCACTTTGTAAGAATAGTTTGCATATGCTGATACAGTGTTCTGTCACTACAGATGCAAGTGTTTACGTCAAAATGACATGTTTAATATCTATACATTTACTTCATGACGAATGCCTGGCTACTCGATAGTACAATGCTGTCATAAATATATTCTTATGGCAGGAGGAGTATGATGCACCCATTCTCGAAGAGTCCAATGTTTAAAGAAGAAAACCTCAATATTCTCCAAGAAATAGATAAAATCGCAGAGCAGAGTCCTGAAACCATGTCCCAAGCCAATCCAGGGCAATCTCTTCATTGGCAAAGTGAAGACTACTGTTGCGAAAGAGAGCCCTCTGACCCCCCCCCAAAAAAATAAAGCATTATGATGAAGATGAACATATTTTTACGATACAGTTAACAAAATAATAAATAAGGATAAGTTGAAGAAGTCTCACAAGTCAAACACTCGCTAGCTTCCCGCCATACTTCGAAATTAATGGCTGATTTCTTGAGAATAATGGCCGAAAAAACAAGAACAATTACATTTCCATTCGAATCATAATTGTTAAGTGTTCTAATGAAACTTCCATGGACTTTCGTGCATTTGGTCTGATTAAGTCTTGGAAGCTGATATCCACATACAGTGGAGGGCCTGTGGAAGCTGATATCCACATACAATGGAGGGCCTTTGGAAGCTGATATCCACATACAGTGGAGGGCCTGACGAAGTTGATATCCACATACGGTGGAGGGCCTTTGGAAGCTGATATCCACATACAGTGGAAGGCCTGTGGAAGTTAATATCCACATGCAGTGGAGGGCCTGTGGAAGTTAATATCCACATGCAATGGAGGCCTGTGGAAGTTAATATCCACATACAGTGGAGGTTTGTGGAAGTTGATATCCACATACAGTGGAGGGCCTTTGGAAGCTGATATCCACATACAGTGGAGGCCTGACGAAGTTGATATCCACATACAGTGGAGGGCCTGTGGAAGCTGATATCCACATACAGTGGAGGGCCTTTGGAAGCTGATATCCACATACAGCGGAGGCCTGACGAAGTTGATATCCACATACAGTGGAGGGCCCGTGGAAGTTAATATCCACATACAGTGGAGGGCCTGTGGAAGTTGATATCCCCAAACACAAGATGAGTGGTTTAAGACTTACTTAGCCGTCTTAGTTTATTAGATTGAAAATCATAGCCACCAGGTTGAGGATGATGTATTATGGCCGAAGAATCTCTTAAGGTGAAACACGGAATCTGGATAATCGTTCTTAAAGCAGGATTAACCTTCATTATACAGTCATACATGCATGTTTCTTATTTAAACCTTATTGATATTATTCTATGTCATTTTATCATATCCGCCATGTTTATGGTATCTTCTTTAGATGTTAAACCACACTGCTGTCGCCCGTAGTGGCACAGTGATAAGTCTGCGCACTGATAACTCCAAAAACCAGGTTTTGATACTCGTGGGGGGGCACAACACAGATAGCCCATTGTGAATTTTTGTGCTTAACTACAAACAATTAAACAAACTGGATGTAAACATTACATCTTGTGATGTTATCCTTATATTGTGTTATCTGACATTCTATTTTAATTCGTATTATATTTGAATTAATATTCTGGATGTGCACAGGTAATGAATAAAACGTTTTAATTTTTATTTGCTTTTAAGAGTGCTAGCCTAGATTCTGCTATACTCTTATTTTAAACTTTCAGAATTAAGACCTGATTGGCAGTCTTATTAATTTGTTGCTTTCCTATTGGCGTACAATACACACAACAATAAGGGTTAGAATAAACGTTGTCGTAGCATTAAAAAAATGACGATCTTAGTATTTGTTAGAAAGTGAACTGAAAAGGTTCGATACTGTGAAATTAATCGCATTAAGTATATGCTAGAAAAGTAATAAGATCCCGTAATTTGCATAATTGTTGCGGTAGAAAATGTTAAAGTCGATAGCTATTACAAAACAAACTTTAAATGACCACATGTGTGGAAAAGAAAAATAAACTTTTGAGAAAAATTCCATAAATGATTCGCTTAAAATTTTGTTTATAAAATAGAACACGAAGACGTAGTAAGAATAAATATTTTAATTGTCGAACGTTTCATGTGATGCAAACAATAAATCATCTTGTATTGTAGCAATTATTTTACTGAAGGTTAACATTGTAAACTAGGAACTTTTTACGACGTCATCACATAATTTTTTTTATTAAAACTGTTCCGCACTTAGGTGGCTTTCACATTTAATAGTTCTGTATTAAAGATTTGTTTAATAAAACCCATATCGCCTTTTTCATATATGTTTTCGAAAAATCGTATTTTCCTTTCACTAAATAAAAACAAACAAACAAACCAATAACACTGAGGACTAATTTAACCAATAGGAGAGACCATGTATCATTGATATTGTCAAATTCTATTCAAGATTGTCAGTTGATTCGTCAGTTGAGCTGTGACGTCACCGAGACTTACATCGAATGCACGATCTAGTTAAATGTGATCTGTTTCACGTGCTATCAGCAGTGCCGTACGCATCAAGTTTCTAGTAAGGTCCCAGAAATAATTTGTTGTATATATCTAATACGCTTGCCAGAACAGTAAAAATTATTTATCAACTTTAGATAATTTAAAGATTAATTTAAAATGTTTAGAAGAAGAGACTGATCGAAGTCATGAAGTGTTACATATTCTCAATCTTTCTTTGAAGATGATAATTATCTTCCAAACCAACAGGTTCTTCGTTAGATATAGTTTAATAGTAGTTTACTTTTGAATGTTTTTCGATGACAGTTTATATAAATTAGCTCACTTTTTAAAAGTCTCATCTTTATTTTTCAAGTGTTACTTCAAACGGCAATGACCTCGAGTAATTCTACGCAGGATAAAGACAAGCTGCGACCTCTCACGGAAGATGAGTGTCATCTTAGATACAATACCGAACAGGAAGCCCCGGGTAAGCATTTATAATCTCTGTAACAGTTGTCGTTATTGTTGTTCTTGCCAGTTATTTTGATTTAAAAATAATTATCTCCTAAGAAATAATTATTAATCAAGGGGGCAAGAAGATTAAACAATCCTCCATCACCCCGCGCGTGGTCTAGGAATATGGGCTTAACTTGAGAAAATAGGAAATTAATCCACACAAGGTATGTAAGTTTAAAAAAGTAATCGAGAGAGTAGCTGTAGACAGTAAAAATAAATAAAAAGTGAAGAGCAAAGTAGACTAAACTAAACGACCGATGTCGGACTGATGGTCCATCAGGGCCCCGGGGATCTAAAAATCCTAATGAACAGTCTGTAACAGTCGTAGTGTTAACGATCTTTTACTGTTTTCAGTCTTTCCATCTTAGTTCGTTAATCGCAACTTTGCGATTATTTTGCGTCCATTCGATACACCATAAGAGGATAAAAAAACATTATGCCAAAGTATCAAGGAAAATATATCGTTATTAAGTTTTATGCAAACAAACCATGGATATTGGAAGTAAACAAAACAAGCCTCTACATACACATTAACTTCAAATACAAAAATGTGGTTAGGCTTAATTTAATTACTTTGGAAATGTTCAATTGCCTTAATGATAAAATCATAAATAATATTCAACGTTAAACTGGTACACAATTAAAAACACTTTGTAACGTCGAAACATG